CCTATTTTTAGTTATAACCATGAAGAATATTTCCATCTTTTGTCAGATCAAGCATGCACCAACTGTTAAATTTTATCAATCAGCTCTAACAAGATGACGTTTGAGAAGTTAAATGTCATTTCATCCATGATGCTCATGATGAACCCAGAACCTTCTGGTTAAATGTGCTGCAGGAGGATTATGCACAGCTTAAATTGTCCATAATTGTACCATTTCTCATTTATTAAAAGATTAGGGGTTTTCTCACATTAAATCCATGTCACAGTTTCCCAATTTGGCCCAAGTTCGGTTGCTCCCTCCAAGGCTCTGGTTTGCCCGTGGGATGGTTACAAACACAATGGGTTGGTGTGGGAGGGGGGCTGGTTGTGATGGTGGGGGGTGGGGGTGGGGGGTCACAAGGAAAACGCTTGTTGTGAAGCTTTTGTATGCGAGCAGTGCAAAAGCCCACATTACACTAATCTCTTCTCCCTTCTTCTCTCACAAGACACATCCTCAGCGCTTCAGAGACTCTTCAAGTCTAAAGACTTCTTCTTCTTCTTCATTTTATTTTTTCCAAAAGTCAAAGCTGCATCAAGGTCACTTGCAGGCACATAAACGCCATATATCTATCTATGAATACAAAGACAAACAAACTTCTTTGGTATTTTAACTGAAACAACAGTAAAATGGCTGCAGTTGGTGATAACTGTTACCAAAGCAAAACCCAAAGTAATCTATGCAATAATGAGAAACAGGAGCAAACAAGATGCATCTGAAAACTAGAAGGACAAAAACTAACCACTAAATGTGTTTCCATTCTCCTCTTTTTAAACCAATATCAAGTGCAGAATCCAAATATGAGCAAAAACAACACAAATGTTTGGTTAAAATTCAGTTTCAACCACCTGCACTCTTTTCACACGAGCTGACAGTTCTCAGCCTTGGTCTTTATGCTGTGCAAACGTGTGTGTGTGTGTGCGTGCGTGCGTGTGTGTGTGCGCCGAGACTCCAAAATCCACCACATTTTAATTAGTGCCCGGCTGCACTGCGCGCCCCTTTGATATGGAAATGCAGGCGACCATCTTCACACAGCCACTGTACAAATCTTCATTTGATTCATAAAAACAATGAGCCTCACTAATTCCTCCACCTGATTACAGTCCCCGACCTGCGCGTGTCAGAGACGTGCAGCCACCAACGCCTCTCTGATTTATTCTACATATTAATGTGTAATTTAAGAAAAGACGCTTTGGATAAAAAAAACAACAACTGGCTACTTACTGTTGCATTTTGAAGTCAAAGTTAATTATGCACAAATATATGGACTGAGAGAATACGTCCAATTATTTTGTGAAAAACTAATTCAGTGGGAGAGTGAATGATACAGATCAAAATGGGCCACTTAGGTTACTTGTGCAATTATGCACGTCCTGTGATGATACACGTATTTTGATCTGTAATCCTTTAATGTCAGCAATACTGTTCACTTGCAGCAACCAGAGGGACATGAAGATGTAAAGGAAGAGAAACCACGGCTGCTCTTCTCTATGAACAGTAAGTGTTATAAATGCAGCAGGTGAGGTTCGTTTCTAAATTTAACACAAAACTACAAGTTACATTTTTAACCAAAGAAAAAGAGCACAATGGAAAAGCTCTCAGATTGTAGAAAATGTTAATAAAATTCAGAAAATTAATTATGCTGAAGATCAAAATGTTTCTTTTGGATGGCTGGCCTGTTTTTGTTCACGAGCATAAAGACATTGTTCCTCAGGTGACCCTTAGTTGTATCTCATTTTCTCCTGCTTGGAAACAAGTGGCCTTTAAAAACATACTGTAATGTGGAGCCTTTAATCACTGACATCATCCAGATCAGAAAGTTCTGGTGAAAGGGACAAACGTCCCTGTCCTCCCACAGCACAGACATGCTGCGGCATCTCCCATTAGTTTTGATCATTGTTGAAATTCTCCGCAGCAAATCAGATAACACTTAGAAAGACAGCTGTCACAACATGTGCTGCCACATTTATTATCTGCTGCTCTCTCCTCCTCTTATTTACCTCCTCATGCTGTTTATCACAAGCTCTAAAACCACCACAAGAAAGGAGTCCCAGTGCACCCCCCAGCAGTCACCGCTCTCCTTCGACATTGTCTGTAAGACATCATAAAACTGCAGGTTCTGGTCCCGTGTCAGTTTGTTCAGTGGAGACACTTCGGTGCATAGAAATGGGATATTCCAAAACCAACAGCGGTGTTTACTCAGGTCAAAAACACACTTGCTAAATATCTGGGGGACGGAAAATACAACTTATTTGTGCACATACACCAAGGCATAAATCGAATCTGTCGCATGAGCACACATGATAAAGCCAAGATGGATTTACAAAAAAACTAAAAAATCAAATGAGATCTCAGACTTTGTATACATTTTCTGACATGCATGTCTCACTGATAGACATGAGAGGCTCAGTATCCGTGCTGCAGAATTATACTCCACAGAGAAATGCTTTTGAAAATGATTTTCATGAAATCAGCTTCTCAGAGGAGTTAAGCTGTTTGGGATATCGTTTTCAGTTTGGCAGGAAAACACAGATTGTGTACAAAGAGCAAGGCCGTGGAACGAAACCACACTTTTATTCGCAGCCTTTATGATTTAAGAAAACTGCAGATGTTTTTTCTCCTCCTGTTAAATAAAATAACGCGTTCTGAATACCTGTGACAAGAGTCGTTTTTGTACTTTGGAGATTTCAAAAGTGGAAAATTTCCAGCAAGCATTTATGTGTAAATATGAGCAAGTCATTAAAAACATTTCACACGAATCACGCAAAGAAAACGTTTCTTTCTGCATATTGCTGCAGTGTTTGCTCTTTAATCTCAGTGATTCCCGCAGGAGTTTTCAACTGAGCCCACCTCCTCGTGTGGACAGATTAAAGAAAAAACACAAGCGGTTCATTTCAGATGAACTCATCAGCTTCACTCACATCTATTAAAAACAGTGAAGACAGTGATTTTGGTTTAACAGAAGGAGAAAAGAACTCAGCAGCAAAGTTTATCACCTGAACTGAGTGAAGGATGTGTTTGGACATGTGAGACAGGTGTGCCCCCCCCATGCCAAAATGAAAGTCCTAAAATGTTTGAACTTATTTTGACACTTCAGCGTCTCTAAATGTTCTCTCAGTCCAGGTGAGGGATATGATGTCTTATTGCTCACTATTAGAAACAAAATCAGATAATTATTAAATAAAATAGACGATGTCATGAACTAAATGTGTCTTTGGTGTCGTGCAGTTTGTATCTGAAGGTAGCAACAATTTTATGTGTTTACTTGTAATAACAATAAATTGTTCTGAACTGAGTTAATTAGAAATAATTTAAAGGGCTCTCAAAATACCAACAATAAACAGTTATGACAAAGAGCAGAACAACTGCAAAAAAACGTGATTAATTAAAAAAATATTCACTAAAAGCCGAGCTGAGCTGCATCAAAGCTGAAGATTAAAAAAGTCGCTTCTTTTTTTATTGGGGGGGGGGGGGGGGTCACGCTGAGCTGCAGCCGTCAGAGACAACTCTTCCAGAGACACAGTCCGGTGTCCCTGTATAGCTGCAATCAGGACCATGTGCTGAACGGGCAGTCTAATTATAAACGTGTCTCCAGAACCGCCTTACCTTATGAGGAGACCTGCAGAACCGGCAGCGCGCGCGCGACGGCAGAGGAGGGCAACAACAAGAAAATAAACTTTTCAACTCCTCCGAGCAAAAAGAGCAGTTGGTGTGATGCGCAGTTTAAAGCAGAGAACAGATGATTATTAACTGGCAACAGGTGGTGGAAATAAGAATAAACAGGACAGCGTGCGCTCACATGATAAACAGAAGTTATTGCGAGTGTCTAAACATTTACAAAGCTTTCATTTCATTTTTTATTTTTCTCATGAGGAGGTTATAAAATAAGCTCGTGCTTTTGGAGGGCCGGGTTTATGAAGTGTTTCTGTGAAAAGTCTCAATAAAAAGCTGCTTTTTAAGCATCGTTTACTCATTTAGGATTTCCTTTATTTTAAAAAATACAAAAAATATATTTTGTAAATATTTGATTTTTACTTTGATAAATATAAACAATATATACGTATTTAATTCATTTAAATATACACTTCTTTAACGGCCTGGGCATCCCAAAACATTTGTTTTAATTTAGTCTGTTTATTGTTGTTGTTTATTTATTTATTTACATGTGGCAGAAAAAAAAATGGTTAGAAGATGTGGATGTTACTAAATGTAAAACTGTCCGAGTTTATATTCCGGCTCAGATTGTTGAATTTAATTTATGACTTTATGCATTCTTGGGGGGGTTGGGGGGGTCGGTTCCCCTCCGAGCCCTGAGAAAGTTCAGGCGCGCGCCTGAAAACAACTTTTGGAGTCAAAACAAAAAATCACGGAGACTTTAACGAGGATGAAACGTGCACGGAGACTGAGACTTGTCTTGTCCACACCGCGCACGGAGACAGGTCTGCCCGTGCGCGTGTCCGCTCTGTGGACAGAAGGGAAACTGCGAGCAGCGGAGGAAAGTTGCGCGACATCATCATGGAAACGTCCTTTATTTACACCTTTAAAGAGTCCGCGCGCGCGCGCCAGCTGCGACATGGGGGGGGGGGGGGGGGGGGGCTCGGCTTGCTCATTATCTAAACCCCAAAAAGTGAACTTGAAGATAATGTACAACTTTCAAGAGACTTTTTTTCAGACTTTCCGGATGTCTTAAAGTTGACTCGAACTCTTCGTCCCGCGCGCGCTGCCATTATTTAGATAAAAACAAATAAATAAATAAATAAATAAAAAGTGTCGCAACAACCAAAGCTTGACGCTCGTTCTCCGCCGCACTCGTGCGTCTCGTGTGAGTTGTGCGCGTGGAGAAGTTTGTATCGGCGCGTGGTGACGCGGCGCGGCGCGCGCGGGACGCCTCGCTGACAGCTCGACTTTCAGGAATCAGCGCTGGAAGAAACAAAAAAACATCTCGGAACAACGACACGATTTACCTGGAAGCTGTGGGCCGTGGAGAAGACAGCTGCGCGTCCTTCCTCGTGCGCTCAAAACTCTAAACACTCGACTTTAAACTTTAAGATTTCAAAGGAAATAAAAATAAAAAGCGGAGCTTTCTGTTGAGCGAAAACTTGAGTGAGCGCGGGGGAACAGGAGCGGGTTCCGTCCTCTCTCCCTCTCTCTCCCTCTCTCGCTCTGTCTGTGAAGTTCAGTTGTCCAAAACTACAAGTGCCTTTTGTTGTTCCGTCTACTATCTGCTCTTTATCTCCCTCCCCTCGCGCGCACGCACAGGACAAGAAGAAGAAGAGTCGCGCCGGAGCTGCTGTCAATCTTGGCGATCAATGCGCGCAGCCATGTCGCGAGTATTCAAAGCATTTCCCGTCGCGCAACATCAGAAAGTGAGTGGCCAGGCATTGATCTGAGGAAGAGAGAGGCAGGACTCCCCCCTCCTCCCCCCTCCTCCCCCCTCCTACCAGACACAAGAAAGAGAGAGGGAGAGAGAGGGAGGGATCTACTGTGAAATAAAAGTAAAGACAGGATGATGCTTCTGTCCCGTTTGAGTTCTGAGGACAAATGATGTCTCTGTCTCCTCTTTATGAGACATGTCCTGTTGGGACACTTTTCTTTTTGCCCTCTGAGACAGAGAGAGGGGGAGAGAGAGGGAGAGAGTCCAGAATTAAAGTTAATTTGTGTAAAAATGAACTTCTGAGAGCATTCAGCCTTAAATCTGAAATAAAACAATTCAGTCTGACTGATTTTATTTTTTAATGTTTTAATTTTCACTCAAAAGTCCCAAACCGAATCTCTTTTTTTTTTTTAATTCTACAAGATTTATTTTAGATCATATATATTTTTACTCAACTAATACATTTTTCTCCAGTTATGTTTTATCGTTATAATTTTATAGTAGAGCAGTTTTTACATTTTAAAACATTGTGTTAAAATAAAAGCCTAATTATGTCTTTGATAGATTTGTTTAAAACTAAAGATCGATTTTAAAAGAGGAAATCTGCCCTTCCTCAAGAAAAAACATCACCTTGTTTATTTTGTTTGACAGTTTTACTTATCTACTGCAAATACAATAATCAATACTCATGCAAATTAAATCAATAAGATGTTTGCATTTGTTTAAATAAATTATTAAAACAATATTGTTCATTGTAAACAGAAAAATGACCTTTAGATAATATATGAAATTAAAACAAAGGCACGTTGACACAACAGAAGCTTTTATTGTCCCGAGTGAACATCTGGATTAAATTATCAGCAAGGGGGGGGGGGGGGGGGGGGACTACTTTCTGCAGAAATATTATTTTAAAGGACTAAATATGGAGGTTAAATAGTTGTCATTAAATCAAAATCTAACTGGAGAAAGATCCTGGTGAGAAACTGACGAGAATAAAAGAAATGATCAAGTTACAAACAGGAGAGAGGAGAGGGGAGAGGGGAGAGGGGGACTAACGGAGGAGAGACATGGAGCTGAAAGAGGGAGGAGGAGGAGAAGAGAAGGAGAAGAGAAGGAGGAGAGAATAACAGAAGAGGAGGGGGAGAGAAAAGAAGGAGGACAGAGGAGAGAGGAAGGGAGAGAGATAGAAAAAAGAAGATCAAACTCTGACTTTTCTTTCTTTCTTTCTCTTTCTTTTCTTTCTCTTCCTTCCTTCCTTCCTTGCTTCCTTCCTTCCTTCCTTCCTTGCTTCCTTCCTTCCTTCCTTGCTTCCTTCCTTCCTTCCTTCCTTCCTTGCTTCCTTCCTTGCTTCCTTCCTTTCTTCCTTGCTTCCTTCCTTGCTTCCTTCCTTGCTTCCTTCCTTTCTTCCTTGCTTCCTTCCTTGCTTCCTTCCTTCCTTCTGAAGAACACCTCAGAAAGTTTCTTCATACCAACAGAGAACTTCTTACTCCTAACTTTGTTCTCCTCCTGCAGACTCTGAGAACTTGAAGCTCCTCAGAACAGTCTCCTCACCTGGATGAGGCTTCAGCGCATCATGTTTACATCCTGACATGTAAACATAAATAATCAACAAGCTGGCTGTGTTTGTTGGTGATGGTCTGTGTCTCTGCTCAGAGTGCTGGAAGGAGGAGCGGACTTTTTTCTGTTTCTGCCCGGACTCTTGAGCGCGTTGAACGGACCTCACGCGCCACCTTTTGGACGCAAAAGGAAAGTTCCTGCAGGTGTTTCTCCTGCAGCACGTGCCCATCACTTTAAGCTTTTTCAAGCAAACCTTAAACAAACCCGAATGTTTTCTTGTGCTGGGTCTCCAGTGAACTAAAAGGCAGTCTTTGACTGCATGTGCACTTTTTTAAGGATTGCAAAGTATTACAATAAAACATAAAAAGATAACCTGAGCTACAGTGAACGGTGCAGAGTTTACTTGTTCCAAATGTATAAACTCTGCAGTGTGGGTCCACACTCAACATAAACAAGATACTTTTATCTACAAAATATATGCAGCAAATCTGAGTGTAGACACAAAAACCACTTCCTGATCCAAACAGCTCGTCCATGGAGCTCCCCTGGTCGACTATTTTCAGTCGCTTCCATCTTAATGCACGTGGAACAATTCAAGCTGGTTGGCATCCCAGTCCATCCCTGTGGTGGACTGGAGACATGTCCAGGGTGTCCCCCGCCTCTTACACAGTGATGGCTTGATGGGCACCAGTGACCCCCGTGACCCAAAAAGGAAGTAGCAGGTAAAGATGATGGATGGATGATGGATGGATGGATGGATGGATGGACACATAATGTATGATTTTTTTTGTCTCACTTTATGAATTCTTTCTTGACATCCATGACATCACAATGAGTAGCTTTAAAATAGTAATTTAGTTAAAAAATGTTGCAACAAGGTTTTTATTTTGCTCGTCAGACTCTATCGTTCTCGTGCAACCGAGCAGGCGCCAGTAAATGCAGGTTTTCTCCAAACATACCGTTTTTACCGAGGTGACTGTACGGCTTCGACTCTGCAGCTCAGATGGTAAAGTGCATGAAGCCTGCACAAGACAGTCCAACTTGTTGGGGGGTATACGAGGCAGACACATTTGCATACCCTGTGAGTCTTTGATGCATCTTCAAATTCAAGTCTAGCCCATAAATATTTGAAAAGGAGAGTGCATGAAAATCAACATTTTTGTTACATTAAATTAACATGTGTTCTTCCCCCTGTTCTGCATGGTTAATTAGAGAACACCATTCAGTCGGTGAGTGAGGATGAGAGCGTGAGGGGTGGGGAGGGAGGGGGGCCTGCTTTGATTACTGTGCACCCAGAGCAGGTTTTTAAAGGTGGGCCGCTGATTCCTGTTAGGAACACGTCCATTGGTCCTTCAACGAGCTTCACAATTATCTCAATTTGAAAGGAGGCACAGTTTAAAAGTTCTGCTCTCAAATCTTTGACAATTTAAAACAAGTTAACATCAGCTGTCCCTTTTCACAGGACAAGAGTTCGAGTTAATTTATTCACATTTAGACACGCAGCAAAGGCATTTATTGATTATTTTCAATAGGTGTTGATGAAGTTCATGTATTATAATAAAGCGATTTTTGTTTGTGGGCATCGCTAAAAACACTTTAAGATTAGTCAATCAACCTTTATTTCTACAGGTTAATCCCATTGAGCCTCGAGGACTCATTTACAAGAGAGACCTGATTTCAACAAAGAAAGATGACAACAATGGACAACAGCAACAACAATAAACAGTTATAAAAAAGCATACTACAGTTTTTTTTTTGTTTGTTTGTTTTTTTAACAAATAGGATGGCTAAAAGGAAAAGGTAACAAAACAAAAAACAGCTAGATTCCAAGACAAATGTAGAAAACTAAAAACAGGAACATGTCTGCATTGGTCCCTGCCAGGTGTCCAACAGATTCTTAATCAGATTTCTTAATCTTATTAGAACAAATAAATGCAGTTAAATAGGCAGACAGTCAAAGCAAGAGGATTTTATTTTTAAAAATTAAAAATAAAGTAAGTCAACTTCTAAAAATGTGATTGTTAATCTAAATTAGTGATTGCTGCTTCACCACAAAAAGAACATCCTTGGATTTTTGCAACACGAGCTAAGATTAAAACACATTTAACAGAATGTAAGAAGATCATTAATAATGAACAGTTGAATAATCTGAAATAAAAAACGCACTGACCTCTGTCAGCGAGACTCGTGCTCCATAACAAGCTGCGCTCACTAAAAGGCCCACATCCACAAAACCAACACCGAATGCCAGCGTGTGCAATTAACTCCAACAGGATTTGCATTCATGTAAATCATCTTCCTCCCGGTTGGACTTGTGATGTGAAATGCTCTGTTCTCATTAGTTGACCCAAATCTCTGGTTGTAACTCTGGATTTCATCAAAGTTTAGTCAGGATCTAATATTTCCTTTCAAGTTAACAGCAAACCACTGATTAACCGTGTAGAAAAAAGGCGTGCATCATGTCGATTTTAATTATATACTTACCAGTGACATCATCACACGGTCTGTGTCAACAACAACACAAATGCACAGATTATTAAGAAATGTGAATGGATGTAGTTTGAACACACAACTCGCTCTCTGATAACAGGTGGTGTTGAGAACGTGTTTGTTGTTCATGTGGAACAGGAAGAATAAAGTTAATCATGTAGATTAAATTAAAAAAAAAGATTTTCTGCATCTTGGCAGAATTCTTGAGTTCCTCTTTAACGTCAACAAATACATCACCCCTGATGTGTCACCGTTCACTGCTCTGTAAGATACTAAATCCATTGCTTTTACACATTAGTTTGTAAATTCAAACACTAAAAAGTACTTGCTGTAATTTGGTGTTTGTGTGTGCGGAGCTGCTAGATTAAAGCGGAGGCCCAGGGGCATTTGCTTCATTTGCAAAGCAATTGCCTTTAAGTACAAAAGCCCAATTCACTGTAGGTATTGTAAAATATTTCCATTTAGGGAACATGGAAATGTTCATTTATTGTTTATATATATATATATATATATACATATATATACATATATTGTTTGAAATAAAAGGGTGCCATCTCAAATTTACACCTGCAATTTTTACTAAACAAATTACACTCTTTATATTTATTGGCAGATTTAATTTAGTCATTTACACTTAATAATTAACTCGTCATTTAAAAAGCTAAAAAAAGAGTCTTTAAATTCAGATTCCTTGAAAGCTTGCTCGTCATGGTGCTGCATGAATGCCATTCGGCCTCCTCCCTATTCTTTTCACATAGCTGCATACGATGGGAAGAATATTCAGTGATTCCTCGCTCTTAAATAATTTACCCCATTCCATTTCTTACATATTAAAAACGAACCACGTGTGGGACTTGAAAAATGATAAAACAGCATAAAATACTGTTTTGAAATCAAAGCACCTATTGCGTCGGCGTTCTTGGTTTTGTATTTGCACAATT